AACAAAACATATTCATATTTCTACTGTGAAATATGTAAATATCCAGCCTAACTGTGATAAAGACAGACTATAAATAATCTCATGTTAATTCAGATCAGAGATCAGGTTTAGCTAAATGAGTTATAAAAAAAAAAAAACAACTTAGTTTACAGAGTTTCCTCGATTTCAGAATTATAGACCCATACTTATTTCACAAATAACTCAATGTAGGTTAAAGGAAGAGAAAACCAACATGTCAACACTAAAGATTGCTGTCCCTTGAGCCCTGAAGAATGCAAACATCAGCAAAAGGAAAAAAAAAGATACTCCTGACTATTGGACTTTTTTCCACATTTAAGAATTCAAAAAGAAAAAATGATATAAAGCTTCCTTACTTTGTCAGCAAAATGTTGGATGATGAAAGCTTTGTTTGACAGACGAGGCTTTTCAAAGAGTGTACATTTGTTCAAATGTGTGTTGTACAATTTTTGGGCCCAGGTGTCATCTGTGCCTTTAGGCATCTATATTCATGGGAAAAAGGAAGAAAGAAAACAAGGTAAATACTGTGATTCTTCTAATGCATCAGCTGTCAAAAGATCTTTTTTTTGGCTTTACCTAAGAACTTTTACAATTCAGTTTAGGAGTTCATTCCTTCCACATTTCATTGTTAGAGGCCAACAACCAATTACTAATGAATACCATGACTCAGACCTTCTCATGGGCAACCCAGCCCAATCTTGGGGCAGTTCAATCTGCCTATAAGAAAAATCATGAAACAAATTTGTTGTTGTTGTTTTTTAAACAACAAAAGCTGGCCGGGCGTGGTGGCTCAAGCCTGTAATCTCAGCAAGGTGGGTGGATCACCTGAGGTCTGGAGTTTGAGACCAGCCTGACCAGAATGGTGAAACCCCCATCTCTACTAAAAATACAAAAACTTAGCCAGGCGTGGTGGCGGGCACCTGTAATCCCAGCTACTCATAAGACTGAGGCAGGATAATTCCTTGAACCTGGGAGGAGGATGCTGCAGTGAGCAGAGATCACACCATTGCACTCCAGCCTGGGCAACAAAAGTGAAATTCCGTCTCAAAAAAAAAAAAGCTTCCCATGAAATATCAGGGCTATTATATATGTTTTCAAAATTCTTTTAAACAGAAAGACAAACATTACATGTTCTCATCTATTTGTGGGATCTAAAAATTAAAGCATCTAAAAAATTAAAGATGGGGGATGGCTAATAGATACAAAAAAAATTGGAATGAGTAAGTCCTAGTATTTGATAATTTAATTATACATTTAAGAATAAGAATATAATTGGATTGTTTATAACACAAAAGATGAATGCTTGAGGGGATGGATGCCCAATTTTCCATGATGTGATTATTATACATTGCATGCCTATACCAAAATATTTTATGTACCTCCATAAACGTATACACCAACTAGGTACCCACAAAATTAAAAATTTAAAAAAATTCTGCCAAATAAAGGTAACATTTGTACATAGTGAAACATTTCTATAATTCAGAAAGATATAAAACGGAGAGTAGTCTCCTCTTGCCATTTCCTCCAACTTAATTATTTCTTCCCCTCTCTCTTTTTTTTTTTTTTTTTTTTTTTTGAGACGGTTTCACTCTTGTCACCCAGACTGGAGTGCAACGGCACAATCTCGGCTTACTGCAACCTCTGCCTCCCAGGCTCAAGTGATTATCCTGCCTCAGCCTCCCAAGTAGCTGGGACTACAGGTGCACACCACCATGCCCAGCTAATTTTTTGTATTATTTTGTAGACGGGGTTTCACCATATTGCCCAGGCTGGTCTCAAACTCCTGAACTCAAATATCTACCCACTCAGCCTCTGAAAGTGCTGGGATTACAGATGTGAGCCCACCATGCCTGGCCTTCTTAAGTCTCCTTGAAGGCATGTATGTGAATAGGGTAATTTTACACACTCCTTGCATTGTTTTCAGCTTTGCAACAATAGCATTCTCTGCATTATTTATGGCTACTAGGTTGTTACTGATTTTTTTGTTATTATTATGACAACTGCCACAGTTTTCTTCTTACATGTATATACCTTGGATACTTTTGAAAGTGTAATCAAAGGTGGAATTCCCAGCAGTTCCATTCCTGGGTCAAGGGTATGTAGTTAAAATTATGATAAATGTTGTCAAATGTCCTATAAAGTATGTTGAATGAATTCGTGCTTTTCATCATGAGTATATATGCAATATTCATTTAGTATTATCAAATGAAAGTTATCAAGTCTAAATTTGCCTACTGGATGGGTAAAGAGTGGTGTACCATTTTTGCTTTGGTTTGCATTTTTTTAAATCTCAAGTGAGGCTGAGAACCTTTTCGTTACATGCATCCTTAATGTTGTAGGAAGTCTGGGTGCTTAGGAGGGTACACCTATGCTAAACTGTAACTTACTGCATATAAACTAAAGAGAAATAAAGAGAAAGAATAGGTTTGCCTAAGATCACTCAGTGGTAAAGCTGGGGATCTAATACTTTTTTCCAACATGCTGCACCTTTAAATATTAAAGATACAACTCCATCCCTTTCAAATATGTCAGTAATATGGAACAACTAGTTAGTTTTACAATTATAACTATTTAGAACTATTATTCAAAATATCTTCTGCACAGTTTCTTGCATTTCTTTAAATAAATTCTATCGCCGAACAAAAAGTACTAAACATAAACAAATTAATAACAAAAGTGGCTAAAATTGGTAGTATCTAGTGTCAATTTTTCATGCAATTTAGAATCGGCTGAAAAGAGGAGGGAAATTCTCCTATTTTCACCTGTAATTAGAACTCTTGGGGTCTAGTGTCCCTTCGGAATGAAAGCATTTTCCCTACTTGTCACCACAATGGCATTCCAAGATATACTAATGAATCTCTCCTTGAACCCCTTACCTTCTGACCTTGATACATCTATTTTGATAAACCAAGTACCCCAGGAAATCACACTTACCTTGCATTCCTCATCCAGTAAATCTAGAATGCCTAGTTTTGATTCTATAAGATTAATACAAGGCTGATTATCATAAAAATCTATGAGTGTCCATGGAATTTGTTCCTTCATATATTCTTCTTGCTCCAATTTGAAGACATGCTGAAATGAAAAAGAAAAAAAAGCAGTCATTACTGGATCATTGTAACAAAGAATGTAGTCAAGAAACAATGTTTATATAAAACACTAAGATGACACCAACATAATTTGAGATAATCTATGGCTTTCAACAACAACAACCTCATGGGAGAAGCATGATTTACACACAGAGAAAGCAAATAAAACAACAGGAAAACCTCAGCTACGTAGGATTCTTGGTGAACAAGTAAATCTAGGTATTTTAAATAGCTGATCAATGTAGCAATCTTTGTGATCTTTTGATTACGTATATTTTCAAAGCCACACTATGTATTTTTGGCTTCTTCAGTTATCGTACCATGCTGCTAACAACATGGGACACAGGAATGCCTTGGCTGGCATTTAACAACTATGTTGATGCCCTCCAGGCTACTGAACCACGCTGGGCAATGCTTTCAGCATAACAAAGTACTTCTCCTAAGGGACTGTGGTGCTGAAGTTCACGTGGCTCAGAATTAGTTAATAATTGGCCTTTCTCGTGACTGCCCTGATTATCTTTGATAGTCATGGAGTCTATGACTCACTTTTCTGGCTTCAGCCACTGTCCTCACCATTGCTTCTCATCTCCATTCACACAAAAATATGTATTAACTGTCTACTATGTGCCAGTCACTGCACATGGTTAACAACACAGACGTGGATGCTGCCCTCATGGAGCTTGGAGATAAGTGGGAGAAGCAGACAGAAACCAAATAACCATAAGGAATATAATCACAAGCTATAGTAATATTACAAAGGAAAATAATATGAGCTATAAGAGCAAGAGTCCTCATCTAGTTTGGACACAGGCTGGTCAGGGCAGGCTTCCCTGAGGAGGGCTGTGTGATCTAGTCTCTAAAGATGAATAGGAGCGAAGCTAGGCTGGGTGGGAAGGGCAATCCAACCACTGCCACAGCTCCTGTCTCAGGCTGCTGCCCAGCCACTGCCCAGCCAATGCAGCTGACACCACCACTTCTAGTCTCTACAGATGCTAATGACTGCTACTCATTCTTAGGGAGTTTCTGCCTTCCTTTACTTATCTCTTTGGTCTCCTTTGGTTCTTTCACAAATCTTGCTATTTTTGTGGGAAGAAAAGACTTTTGTGATGACGACGAAACAACCCATATTTTCTAGGACCCCACACCCTGTGAAACTTACATGCCACAAGATCTCCAATGAATACTCTCCTCATGTGTCTGGAACTTTCCCACTTTATTCTGTACTTATTGTAATGCTACTCTTGGCTCATTTGCACTTTTTTTTTTTTTTTTTGAGACAGAGTCTTGCTCTGTCACCAAGGCTGGAGTACAGTGGCACAATCTCGGCTCACTGCAACTTTTACCTCCCGGGTTCAAGCGATCCTCCTGTCTCAGCCTCCCGAGTAGCTGAGACCACAGGCGCGTGCCATCACGCCTGTATAAATTTTTGTATTTTTAGTAGAGACGGGGTTTCACCGTGTTAGCCAGGATGGTCTCAATATCCTGACCTCGTGATCCGCCCGCCTCTGCCTCCCAAAGTGTTGGGATTACAGGCATGAGCCACCACGCCTGGCCTCATTTGCAGTGTTTACAGTCTAACGAGCTATTATAAGCTTTAACAAAAAACAGTCATCCATAAGAATATTTATGTCATGCTAATAATGAGGAAAGAGAGAGACCCTCTCATATTGTTTTATACTCAGTACCTGTTTTAAGAAAAAAACAAGGAAGTAAAACCAAAGACAGGCAGCCCGGCGCCAGGCCCAGAACCAGGCCTGGGCCTGCCTGGCCTAAACCCAGTAGTTACAAATCAACTCATGACTTAGAAACCGATGTTCCTGACATTGTATGGAACATTGTGAAACTCCCTGCCCTGTTCTGTTTCACTCTGACCACCGGTACATGCAGCCCCTGTCACGTATCCCCTGCTTGCTCAAATCAATCATGACCTTTTCACGTGAAATCTTTAATGTTGTGAGCCCTTAAAAGGGACAGAAATTGTGCACTCGGGGAGCTCGGATTTTAAGGCAGTAGCTTGCTGATGCTCCCAGCTGAATAAAGCCCTTCCTTCTACAACTCAGTGTCTGAGAGGTTTTGTCTGCGGCTTGTCCTGCTACATTTCTTGGTTCCCTGACCGGGAAGCGAGGCAACTGACGGACAGCCGAGGCAGCCTCTTAGACGGCTTAGGCCTGCCCTGTGGAGCATCCCTGCGGGGGACTCTGGCCAGCCTGAGTGACGCAATCCAAAGACCGCTCCTGAGTAGGCAATTGTCCCGGTGGAACACCTCATCAGAGCAGCGCGTAGCAGGCCCCCACAGAGGATTAACACAGTGGCTGAACACCGGGAAGGAACTGGCACTTGGAGTCCGGTCATCTGAAACTTGGTAAGACTAGTCTTTGGAACTTGCCCCACTCCATTTGAGTGGAAGCATGGCCTGATCGCCCGCGGTGTGCCTGTATCGGCACTTTTGTTCTGGTTTTGACTTGACTTGACTTGGTAAGACTAGTCTTTGGAACTTGCCCCACTCCATTTGAGTGGAAGCGTGGCCTGATCACCCACAGTGTACCTGTATCGGCACTTTTGTTCTGGTTTTGACTTGACTTGAATTGCTGGATACTTTGGTTTTGGTTTTGACTTGGATTAAATTTCTTGGTACTCAGATTTTGAATTTTGTGGTGTTCTGATTTTGGTTTAGTATAAACAATAAAAGCGTGTGTGTGTGCCCTCTTTACCTGTTCTTTGTTTTGTGGTGAGTGTGTGTGGTGTGAGTGTAGTATTTTGTCTTGCGAAAACATGGGTCAGGCGCAAAATAAGCCCACCCCACTAAGAACTATGTTGAAAAATTTTCAGAAAGGAAAAAAAAGTGGGGGGGGGAGCAGAATTTATATAAAAAGAATGTTATATGGTAAATTCTTGTCCTGAAATAAATTAACTGGTTATTAAAAAAAAAAAGTTTGTAATAAGTCAGAAAGTTGAGACATGTCAAAAAAAATTGTCTGCAAAAGACGTAAAAAAAGAAAAGTTATAAAAAAAATTTTATGCAAAAAAGTTATATAATTTAAAAGTAATAAGGCCTCCTGAATACTACTGAAAAAAAAACCAGTTTATGTGCAAGGTATATAAAAAAAGGTAAACTATACCTTTAGCAAAAAAATTATAAAGAGGCATAAGAATGTGGATTTTTACCCTACATTAAAAGGTCAAAAAAATTATTGTTTTGAAAGGTTAGGCAAGTTTTAAAACCTTAATTGTAAAGAAAATTTTGTGTGTAAACATCATAGCTAAAGTTAAAAAGGCATCATCCAGTTTGTCTGTAAACTGGACATTAAAGTAAAAATGCAACAGATTTTTCTTAAAACATCAACCTGCTCTTTAACAAAAACTGTAAAAGGTTAAAAAGAGTCTATAAAGTCTTACCTTATGGTGAAACATGAAAAATTAGATAAATATGTCTATAAGGTTTTGTTAAAATTAATAACACACTAATATAAAGGTAAAATTTAGCTTATCCGGTATAAAAATCATACAAAAAGCATTATTAAATATAAAATGGTGTTTAGCTTTTTTTTTTAGTCCAAAAACTAATAAAAATAGGTGCTAAAGGAAATGTTCATTTTACTAGAAGATCATAGAAGTTAAAGACTTAAAACAAACTTTGGCAATTAAGACAGCATACCAGGATGCAAATGTCTGGTTGGAATGGATGAAATATTCCATCTGCACGTTAAACAAAAGCAATTGTTATGCTTGTGCACATGGCAGGCCAGAGGCCCTGACTGTCCCCCTTCCACTGAGGTGGTCCTCCAGTCGACCAGGTGTGGGCTGCATTGTAGCTCTTTTCCAGAATTCTACAGCCTAGAGTAATAAGTCATGCCAAGTTCTCTCTGCTATATCCTGAAGTCCCTGCGGGTCAGCCCCCGAGGGCCATCTAGCTTCCGTCTCCCACCACTAAGTTCACTTTGTGTCTCTCATGGCAGAGAGGAGACTTAGCATTCCTTGGAGACCTGAAGGGATGCAGTGAGCTTAAGAATTTTCAAGAGCTTATCAAGAGCCCTTGTTCATCCCCAAGCGGATGTGGGGTGGTATTGTGGTGGACCTTTACTGGGCACTCTGCCAAATAACTAGAGTGGCACTTGTGCTTTAGTCCATTTGGCTATCCCTTTCACCCATGCATTTCATCAACCAGAGGAAGAAAAAATAATAATAAGCCGTGGTAAAGCGAGAGAAGCCCCTTATAGGTCTTTCAACTCTCACATCTATTTAGATGCAATTAGAGCCCCGCAAGGAATACCAAATCAATTTAAAGCTTGAAATCAAACAATTACAGGATTTAAGTCAATATTTTGGTAAATGACAGTCAATAAAAATGTAGATTAGATAAACTACATCTGTTACCACCAACAACAATGAGCTTTTCATGAGTTAAAAAGAAACTCACGTCAGCCCCAGCCCTGAGGCTACCTGACCTGAGAAAACTCTTTACACTCTATATGTCAAAAAAAAAAAAATGGCAGTTGGAGTTTTCACCCAGACTGTAGGGCCCTGACCAAGGCCAGTGGCTCATCTCTCAAAACAACTAAACGGGGTTTCCAAAGCCTGGCCCCCATGTCCAAGGGCCCTGGCAGCAACGGCCCTGTTAGCACAAGAAGCAGATAAGCTAACTCTTAGGCAAAACCTAAACATAAAGTCCCCCCATGCTGTGGTAATTTTAATAAATACCAAAGGACACCATTAGCTAATAAATGTTAGACTAACTCGATACCAAAGCTTACTCTGTAAAAATCCCCACATAACCACTGAAGTTTACAACACCCTAAACCCCGCCACCTTGCTCCTGGTATCAGAGAGCCCAGTTAAACATAATTGTGTAAAAGTACTGGACTCAGTTTATTCTACTGGGCCCAACCTCCGACACCATCCTTAAACATCAGTAGACTGGGAGCTGTACGTGGATGGGAGCAGCTTCGCCAGCCCCTGCAAAGTGACTCTGAAAAAACAAGCCTTGCTCCAGTCACACCCGGAAGCTGACTGGTCCACGCATGGCTGAACCATGAGGAAACTCATCACAGGACTCATTTTCCTTAAAATTTAGACTTGTACAGTAAGGACTTCAACTGACCTTCCTCAGACTGAGGGCTGTTCCCAGTATATATATATATATATATATATATATATATATATATCAAGTCACTGAGGTAGGACAAAAGATTGCTACAGTCCTATTATTTTATGGTTATTATAAGTGTATCAGGACTCTAAAAGAAACTTTATATAATGCTATTTTATCCAAGGTATGTAGCCCAGAAAATAACCAACCTGAGGCGTGTTATGACTCATTTTAAGCCTCCCATGATCACAGTTTTTAAAATAAGACTAAGGACTGATCCTTTTCTAAGTGACACAAGTAAAGTAATAGCTAGGACAGAAGAAAGAGGGGTCCCCAAAAATGTAACCTTAAAATTTGATGCATGTGCCACTATTAACAGTAAGCAGCATAGATTGGGATGCAGTTCTCTAGATTGAGAAAAAAGTTACACAACAGAAAATAAGTATATCTGTCAAGAATCATATTTATGTGAAATGTGTCAATACTGGTCTTGTGTCATTTAGGCTACTTAAAATAAAAATTAAAAAGATCCTGTTTGGCTCTAAAAAGAAAAAGTCAGCCCCTCCTGCACGAGTGGGAGCTGCAACCCTTTAGAATTGGTAATTACAAACTCCTCAGACCTAAAATGAAATTTAAAAAATACTTAACATTAGGCATTGATGAAAAAGAACTAGATCCTAGCGTAAGCATCCTAATAAAAGGTGAGGTTCAAAGACACTCTCCAGAACCAGTATTTCAGACTTTCTATGATGAACTAAATGTGCCAGCACCAGAGATTCCAGGAAAAAACTAAAAATTTGTTTTTGCAATTAGCCGAATATGTAGCCCAGTCTCTAAAAGTCACTTCATGTTATGCTTGTGGAGGAACCGTAACAGGAGATCAATGGCCATAGGAAGCCCAAGAATTAGTTCCTACAGACCCAGTTCCTGATGAATTCCCGGCCCAAAAGAACCACCCTGACAATTTTTAGGTTCTAAAAGTCTCAATTATTAGACAGTACTGCATAGCTAGAAAAGGAAAAAGATTCACTAATTCTGTAAGGCAGCTTAGTTGTCTTAGGCAAAAGCTGTATAATAGTACTGCAAAAACAGTACCACCCAGAATTCCACCAGGACTAGACTGCCCCCACCGGGTTATACTGGATATGTAGACATAGAGCCTACGCTAAGCTGCCTGACCAGTAGACAGGTACTTGTGTTATTGGCACTATTAAACCATCTTTCTTCTTACTGCCCATAAAAACAGGTGAACTTCTGGGCTTCCCTGCTTATGCTTCCCGCGGAAAACGAAGCATAGCCATAGGTAATTAAAAAGATGATAAACGACCTCCTAAAAAATTATATAATACTATAGGCCTGCCTCTTAGACACAAGACGGCTCATGGGAACACTGGACCTCCATTTACACGCTCAACTGAATCATACGGTTGCAAGCTGTTTTAAAAACCATCACTAATAAAACCAGTCAAGCCTTGACTATTCTGGCCCGGCAAAAAACAAAAAACTCAGATAAAAAAATGCTATCAAAATAGACTGGCTCTTGACTACTTGCTAGCAACTAAAAAAGGGTCTATAAGAAATTTAACCTTACTAATTACTGTCTACACATAGATAACCAAAGGCAAGTAGTTAAAGACATAGTTTAAAATATGACAAAACTGGCACATGTACCTGTGCAAGTGTGGCACGGACTTAATCCGAGAACCATGCTTAAAAATTAGTTCCCAGCACTAAGAGAATTTAAAACTCTTATAATAAAAGTTATAATAGTAATAAAAACCTGCTTACTGCTCCCTTGTTTGCTACCTGTAGTTCTTCAAATGATTAAAAAATCTTCATCGCTACCTTAGTTCACCAAAATGCTTCAGCACAAGTGCACTATATAAATCACTATCAATCTATTGCACAAAAAGACATAAGTAGCAAAAATAAGAGTGAGAACTCCCACTAATAAAAAGTGAGAGTCTCAAAAGGGGGGAATGAGGAAAGAGAGAGACCCTCTCATATTGTTTTATATTATTTTATACTCAGTACCTGTTTTAAGAAAAAAACAAGGAAGTAAAACCAAAGACAGGCAGCCCGGCGCCAGGCCCAAAACCAGGCCTGGGCCTGCCTGGCCTAAACCCAGTAGTTACAAATCAACTCATGACTTAGAAACCGATGTTCCTGACATTGTATAGAAGAACATTGTGAAACTCCCTGCCCTGTTCTGTTTCACTCTGACCAGCAGTGCATGCAGTCCCTGTCACGTACTCGCTGCTTGCTCAAATCAATCA